AGACATTTTGACCAATATATTCACCAGTTATGTGGCTAGTTTGAATAACATGTTTGGGCAATTGTGTTACAAAGAGTCTTGTTCCATTGCATAAACCACCTTTAGGGTCAATATTCTGAAGAAACATAATAGGTGTTCTTATTTTTAATTTCAGTTCATGGTTCAGCAATTCTGAGATCTTAATACTATTAAGATATTCCTGTGTTTAGACTTTTTCATCAATATTGCCCTAAACTCTAAACCTCTTGCAAGTGAATAGGAGTTTCAAAAACGTACAACATAACTTGCTGTTATAAACTGACGATTGAAGAGAATTAAACCAATAATTTAAAGCATAAATGATAAAATAAAACAAACCCAAAAGTAAACATCATCCAAAATTAAAAACAAAATGCTAGTAAATAAGTATATGAAACTCACAAACCAATTGAACTAAGACAAAAGCGAATTTTTCATCTCAACATATTCATTTTTCATCTTCTTATTTTTCCCTCATATTTATATGTTGGTTTTTTCTATATCGTCTTTTTCTTATCTTTATTTATCGATTTGCACCTTTATCTCTCCTTATTCCCTCACATCTGTTTCTTAGTTTTCTTTTATTTTCTTTTATTTCTTCTTCCTTCTCCTCTTCATTCGATATGTCTTGTCGTACTTGGTATTCTTTGGAGTTTTTTGTCGCGTCTTCTTCTTCTTCTTCTTCTTCGTGTTTTCCACATCTTTTCCTTATCCTCTACCTCTTTTACTTCTTCTTCTTCTTCATCGCCTTCGGCTTCTTCGTTTTCTCCGATTTCATATTCTTCTTGTTTTCATTAATCTTTTGTATTAATCAAATACATGTACATCAAAAATTTAACTCTCTCTCTCTCTCCATCCCCCTCCATGCATCCCTCCCTATCATTTTTTCTCTCTCCATCTATCTCTTTCAATATTTCTCTCTCACTATCTCCCTTCCACTCTCGTCCTAATTTATATATATCATGTGATTTAGACAATTATATTTAAAGTAAAAAGTGTTTTGTATATAAAAAAAATAGGAACACAAAAAAGACGAAGTAATATATATTTAATATCACGTACCTAGAAGGTTTAAATCTCTTTCCCATTTCTCTTTCTCTCTATTCCTCTCACACACTCTCTATCTCTCTCTCTCCATCTATATGCCCCTAGAAGCATCTACATATCCCTGAATGCATTAACTCAATTTCTCTCTCTCATTCTTTCTCCAAATTCACCAGCCTCTTCCCCTTCTTATTCTTCAACATTTCTGTCTTATCATAATTTTTGTTATTATGATTTTTTTTCTTTCTTTTTTTTGGTCTTCTTCTTCGTCTTTTCCGTCTTCCTTATCATTGACTTCAACTGTTATTATTCCTTATCTTTTCTTTTCTCTTCTTTATCATTTTTAACTTTTATTTCATTTCCCTCTTCAGATTTGTCTTCTTTTTTTTCTTCCTCTTCTGTTTTGGTATACTCTTCTTCTTACTCTTAATCTTATGGTTTAGTTATTCCTTGTATTTTCCTTATTCTCTAGGTTTTTCCTATTTTTATTCGTCTTCTTATTCATTTTCCAATTTTATGTCTTTTGTCTTCTTTTTCTGCCCCAAATTCTTCATCTTCTTTTTCCTCATATTTTCTTTCTTCTCCTTCATCGTCTTTGACGTGTACTTTTTTTTCTTATTCCTCTTATATATCTTTCGATTTTATTATTTCTCACCATTTTCTTTCATCTTCATTATCATCTTTGATTTCTCTTTCATCATCTTTGTATTCTCTCAATTCTTCTTCTTCTTCTTTTTCGATTTGTATTAGCCTTCTTTATTCTCTACTTCTCGCCAAAGTTCGTTATCATTTATATGTCCTAGGTTATTTTCTCTCTCATAAGCGTGGGCACAATGGTATTAGTGCATTGGTAAACAACCTCTTTGGTAGCTTTTATCTCTCCTTCTAGCCAGTTCTTACCTATACTTACATGTACCTGGAGACTTCAAATTTTTGTCAACCATATTAATCAGATATCAAAAACACAGAGGGGACACACTAACGGTGATAAAATACTGATCAGTTACATGTTCTTGAAGGCTTTAAATCTCTCTCAAATGGTGAAAAATGCTGATCAATTTCATGACCCTGAAGGCTTTGACTCTCGCAAGCACGGGCGCAAAACCATGTATCATAATGTAGATAAACAATCCATTTCCTAGCTTTTGTCACTTTGTCTTCTCGGTTCTTTTCTTTCTCAAAAGTGTGGTCGCGGAACCATGGTATCTGTAAGGAGGTAAACAATCCTTTTGGTAGCTTGGATACTTCTAGATTTCTTAAGTTCTCTCTAATCACTTCAAATATGTCTCCTACATCAAAGACAATACCGTTCTTCTCTCTCTTCTCTTTTGGATCTGTCTTGACCTTTGCTTCTGGTCTCGCTAATACCAGCCTCAATCACAACAGGTTCTTAGCTCAATCTATAATGATTGCATCAAGAATTATAGCTCAAGCTGTAAATTGACCTTTGATAGCCCTAATCAAACTATGTAGATCGGAGTTCAGACACTGAAGAGATAAAGAGATTTTGCTTTGTTTTACCTTCTTATCTGTTAGTTGAAAGCTTTTGTTTTTGTCCAGTTGAATTCTATCAAATGGCTAAGATCATGGTGACACCAACGATTACCCTTGCAGAGTTTGTTCTCTTCAAAAAGAACACATTTTCCACAAAGGTCTTGCTAGTTTATTGTGAGATTTCACTTGGTCAATTAAGAACTCTCATGACGTGTTTTTTTCGTCCTAACCATGTTTTAGAGTTTGTTGTTTCACATGTTGTGGCATTAGCAATAGTATCTCTAGGTTTGGCCATTGCGAGAGTAACCGATCTCGAACTCAATTTTTTTGGTGCATTGGTTGCTCTTGCTTTGATTATACAAGTGCCATCAATCAACTTCTCTGGTCTAATTTTCAGCAATAATCTAATTGGACTGCCCTAGCGTAAGAATCTCTCTCTCTTTCCTTTACCTGAGGCTTAAGCAATAAAAGACTCTTAAGATAATACACTTTTTACTAAATGAAGATTGATGTGGAACATGAAAGTTTGTATAAAGAAGTGTTGGCTCCATGCCATGGCTTGAAACCATTCACATGCAACACGATGATTAAACCCGCAAAACAACACGGTTGATTAGACAAACTCCACGAACCTAAAAAATTACCTTTCTTTTTACTCACTTAATCAACTCAAAGACCCACACCAACAAAAAAGAAATAAAACACGTTAGTTCGAATCAATTTCGAATGAAAGAAAAAATACAAGAAAATCCGTCAATACAAATAGGTGAAACGAATCATTATAAAATATACAAATCAGAAACAACAAATACAAACTGGGTACATAACAAAAGGACTTTAGGTAGTAATTAGGTTTCTACTTAAAAAAAAAAAACTAAACAAAAGAACCAACATGTATAAATACACATTAGATCATTTGTTTATGAGCCACACACCTGGCGAGATACAAAACGTCCACATGATGAAGTGGTGTATCGATACAACACTGAACGAAACAATAAATGAAGTAGACGAAAAAAATATACGAGTCGGGATCAATTAACTTTAGAAACTAATCATGTGCCGTTCTAAAAAAAACCAAAAGAGCATGACATTTTCAGATGCTATAGATCGTCGAAACGACGTGATTCAAAAGCGTCCACATGAAGAAATAATGTATCAATCATAAACAAAACAAAACGTACGAAAACAATCATATGCAAATTATTAATAAAATAATTAAATGATGAACAAACAAAAAGGGGATAAAGCGCTAGACCTAAAAAAAACATCAGTGTTATATCTAACAAAACAAAGATCTATCTCTATATATATAAGTAGAGTGTTTCAAAGTTAGTAATTCGTGAGATCGTGACACCTGTCAAGATAAACAATTAGAATTTGACATGTGTTTAATAAATTTTTAATTAGATTCTGATATATAATATTAAAAATAAATGGAAAAAATTGTAATCGGTTTCGAATCCTAAAATGTTAAGTTATCAAATATATAAAGAAAATAGAAAATACAATTAAAATAAAAGCCAAAGTTAAGAAGAAAATAGTTATAACCTATTCGTAATCTTAATCATACAAGATAATGTTACTAAATAAAAAAATAAAAAATAAAAAAAAAAAAAACTTAAATTTTATTCTAAAATATAAATTTAATAAGAAAATGAAAAAAAATTTTGTTTTAGTTTTCACATTTAGATGAATAAAATTGAACAATGAATTACTAATTCAAAAAAAAAAATTCTTTTCTATATAAAAGAGTTTTTTAGTTATTGTTTTTTTACCGGCTATAAAATAATGAACTATAAACCTCTATATATATGGGTTTTTATCTAGTATATATATAGCCGGATGGACATATTAGGTTTTTAGTTAACACCGATTTGGGAAAGTTTTTGAAATCGCTGGCCCATAGTAGATCATTCAGGCTTATGAGGCTCATTTAAAGTAAATAAATCCATGTCACAGATTTTAACATGTAGGATTAATGATTGACCAATGAAAACTAATTAAAACGAAATATATTAATGACACGTAGGACGATCGCTCTGGAAACGACACATAAGATTTTTGACTTCGCAAATAATAGTATAGATATGTGGTAAAAGACTCAATTCAAGATTTTTTAATTTGTTAAAAGATAAACTAATAAAATAGAGGTTGGTAATAAATCCACAACTATATATATTTTTTTTCAAATGCTATAGTAATGACATCTTATTGTTGAAAAGACAAATTAGATCTTTATTCTATTTTCTACAATTATATGAATCCATAGTTGTACGTTGTCGTGGCCCGTGGGTGACCAAATCTCTACGTTCGTGTAACCAAACGACAAACGTTAACGACCTTGGTGAATACATTGAGTCATTGAATACGACACCACTTTGGTTTGCAACATGAAAGTAGTGATTTTTTGTCCATTATTACATAAATTTAGGGACAAAATCATGAGTTAACAAATAACACATACATACAGTAAGTCACACCATCTCCTCATCAACAATTTAAAACATTCAGTATACAACATCATATCAAAGTAAAAAAAAAAAAAAAATCCAAAAACAAACTTATAGACAACTTAGCGTGAGTTTCTCTCCTGCGTTTTAAACATTATTAATTTAAAATGAAGAAGGAAAAGAAGAAGAAGAAGATAAGGCAGATGATCCCAAGGTCATTGATGGATCTTGGTTTCCAACAAGAGATGAGCCTTCCACGTTTATGTTAAGGTTGTCCCAGAAGAAAAAATTAGAGCATTGTTGTGAATCCATCCATTGATCATAGCTTAGTTCTTGTTTTCTAAGACATTCGAATGTCGACGCCATATCTCCATCTTGAGCATTGCTATTGTCAATTGGGACGATGTTATCAACATTTTCCTCTACTAATGCCGGTAGATTGTAACTTATAACCGTCTCCATATTTGAATTGGTAGAGATGTTGAACCAATGTGACACCATTGTAGGAACATTCATATCCCATTCTTCCGTGTTAGTTGTTAGGAATGCTTGTTCGCTAACGTTTCCTCTTCCTTCTCTTTGTTTTTCGTGATCATTGTTCTTGTTGCTATTGTTTGTGATGATGTTTTGGGAGAACATACCTTCAAGGACAGGGAGTGTTGTGTCTACCATACAGAGAGGAGGTTTATGGGAGAAAAGGGTTTCTTGAATCTTTGTATTAGTTTCTTGCTCATTGTTGAAACTTAGTTGGTTAGGAGAATCCATATAACCGTCAAAATGTAGGTTTTCTATAGTCGATGTTGTCGTGGTGGTAGAGGGGACCAGAGTAAAAGTTGATGTAGCGTCCGTGTTCAATGTCACAGTAGCTATTGATGGTTGGTGACGATTGTAGTGGTGATGCGGTTTACGTATCTTTTTCTTGATCCATGAGTTCCAGTAATTTTTTATCTCGTTATCTGTTCTTCCAGGTAAATGGCTCGCAATATGAGCCCACCTGAAATCATACACAAAAGCAATAAGAAAAAAAAAAATTGATTATAAGCACATATTACATATATGTATATTGTATGTGTAATGTGTGTACGTTTGTATACATAATACTATATGTTGAGAATGTTCGATATTAAGTAACTTGAAATACACTACTTAATAGCTCGAGCAAGTAGACAAAAATACAAGAAGATGAATGAAACTACACGTCAAAGATTCTTTAGTCATCGACCGTAGGCTACTCGTTGCTTAGTACCGTGGCCAACTAAACATATCATAGTTTGATATATTTAATATATTTATTTATATATATATAACCTATTTAATATATTTATATCTATAATAACCTGTTAAACTGAATTAAACTATGAAACATATTTAGTATAGTATGTATTCCAAATCCAACAAATTCATTACTAAATCAATATTAATAAAAAAATTAGAATAACGCTCTATGCATAATAATACAATGTATAAATTGTGAATATAACTTTAGGTTAAAATTAGGGAACAAAAATGGAAACCTGTTTCCTACAACTCCATGAAGGCTTATGATCAATTTCTCTTCTTCAGGAGAGAACCTTCCTCTTCGGATATCAGGTCGAAGATAATTTATCCATCGCAATCGACAACTTTTTCCGCATCTTTGAAGCCCTGAATTAAATCATATATGCATTGTAATAATTTATAAGTTAATTAGCTAAAGATCAGTGCAACTGATTAGAGAAAAAAAAAAATAGAAGTTAAAAATGATGATAAAGTACCTGCTTTTTCAGGGACTTCACTCCAACATCCATAGCCATGAGTTGTGATATATCTAATGAGCTTCTCATCTTCTTCTGGAGACCAAAGCCCTCTCTTCACCTTTTGCTGGTTGCAACATGAGTGATGACCCATGACTTGTAGCTCCTCAACTTAACTTAATTAAAATTAACCACTTAATCACAACAAGTATCTTAAATTAATTTATGCATATATATATATATATATATGTATATACCACCCTTTCTTTCTTTCTTCGGTTGTGTTTATGAGGGTTTGTTGCAGTAGAAGAGAGGAGAAGAAGCGGAAATAATAGAGAGATTTAAAAGGGGAGGAGACAAAGGTCGGGTCGGGTCAGGTCCCACGGGTGGGGCCTGAGACATTTCTCCATCGATCTAACCTTAAAACGACGTCTCATCGACTTTCTATTTTCATGTGTTATTACTCGTTGTACGTAGAGAGTTTTTGTTGTAGTATTATTACGTTAAGCCCTTATCACTTTTATATGTTTTTTTCTTCACGTACCCTTTTGTCTCCCGCTAAAGTTTTTGCCTGATGTTATCAAGGATTTTACTAAGGGAACTGAGCAGAGGATGGCAGTTTATGAACTCCGTTTTGACCAAACACAAAGTTTGAGGGAAGTTACAATTTTTAATTACATACATGAATACATACAAAGTTGTTTCTTAATCGTAGTAATACTCTAAATAAAGTAAAACTTGAATCACTTGATGATCACGAGCCAAAAAGAAACCAAAACTAGTTTTCTTCTTAATATTTCGTTTGCATATTATAATTGAAGCTATGCCTGAATTAATAACGGTTAGCTTAAAAAATTGTTTAATTTCCCTATACGTGCTAGTTGCAACATGAATCCATGGTATTTTCAAGATTATGATGTGGAAAATGTATAAAAGTGTTAATTTTTTTCGCCTGACTTTAAAAATGTATTCATTGTCTAATTTTTATTAGCTATACAACACAAATATACATCATATATTACATATTTTTCCTTTAAAATTATATAGTTTTAAATCGATAGACTTATTGAAATTCATAATTATATTAATAACAACATAATTTTTTTTTTGTCAAAGATAACAATAAAAAACATAGTTTTTTATGCTACGGGTTTAAGCTCCTTTTGAAACAAGTGACCTATTTCAAAAGGAGAAATGTAAATTAGATTTTTCTTTGTTTTAAAAAGATATGTAAATTATATATATATATTATTTTTTTTGAAACGGAAATTATATTTTCTTTCTCATTTTATTTCTATTACTCTGCACAAGCGTACAGATTATAATCTAATTATTTTTAAATTGAAATATCTAAAATTTGATTATGACTACCTAGAGAGATTATAAGCTAAAGTTTCAGAATTCTCATGGTTTTCTAAACAAAAACAAAGACAAAAAACTCATATTTCTAGTAAAAGTTAGAAATTGTGGATTCTAATATGTGGACACGTATTGGAATATGTATGAAGTTTTCAGAAATTGGTTAAATATTTTATTCGACATGAAATAACTGGTTAAGTACCATGTAGCCGAACAATTGTAATGATCTTTTCACATATAAATTTAATAAGTCTATAACAATATCGAGAAGTAGATTGAAGATATTAATGTTTGTCCTATAGTGAAGTTTTTTTCCAAGGATACATATGTGGAATTATAATCTTTATAAGTTACAATTACAAGGCTTCGATTAGTTAGGAGGAGACATATCGGGAGACCTTGCCGAAAATGAAATCTCTTCGTTTATAAAACGTTGCCTTCATTGTTTATATTTCGTATTGACGATAACTTGTAAAGATAGTTATGCAATTCTACATAAATTTATTACATTCATATTAGTCACATCAGGTTTGTTTTTTCTTTTTGTTGACGGCATGGACTTTGTTTATTACTTTGTTCTAACAAGTAATACTAATGTATTACTTAATCTTGTTTAAATTATAATCCCATGTATTCATAACAGATCTTATTGCGTGATATTTAGCTTACGGCACCTATATAGTTATGATTAATATTCTGTGTTTGTTATTCCAAATTACAGTATAAGAAGATATCTTATCATCGTACTTTTAACGTGCTCAAATATTTAATTGGAATAATTCATATTGATCGTCAATTCGTCATTGATTAAGCATTCTCTTTTTCAAATAGCTAGGATCCTAACTAAAGAAGTGTAGACTAAGGATATGTATAAATTACGATACATATGATTTTATTATACAGTATTCTAAAATGGATATTCTGATTTCTGAGACAAATTAATGTTTTTTCTTGCTTAGTGTTTACGAGAATTAATTAAACAGGGTTTTGCTGTAATTGATGAATGCTTAATTTCAACAAAAATATTTCTAATATGGATAGATTTTAATGCTGTTGATTAATTGGACCTGAGCTTATATGTACAGCCTTATAGTACTAGTTTAGTACGAAATGTCCAAAACGCTAGCCTTACATCATTAAATCATTGTTTTTTTTTAACATTATCATTAAATCATTGTTCATCGATTTTGTTATGTTTATCTGGTTTCATTTATTTCGTCTGCTCCACCCATTGCATACAGGTTACCAATAAATTTAGAATGTTGATTAATTGAACCTTCACTTATATTGATTCACTACAACGGATTTTAAACACTCTACATACATCACTAAACTATTGTTCCATTAATTTTGTTTTGTTTTTTTCATTTCATATATTCCTTCCGTTTCACTAATCATTTCATACAATTTATTCCGCTATTTTAATGTTAAATCTTCGTGCGATCCAATTAATGAAGATGTAACGGTGTTCCAGATGATATAAATATAGCCCTACACACATGTATGGCGAGGCCATATGTACGTAGATGAAATTGATGGAGAAGTGGGGCCGTTGGATTGGAGCAAATCAATTACCAAACATCGATGTGAATATGATCACATAGAAAGATGACTTTTGCTTCTATAGATCGCAATCTTTTCCGGTGCTATTTTTCTTCTACTCAATTTATAAGAAAATGGACAATATTGCCAACATTCAAAAAGGAATTCTGAAAATTGCAAACATTCTATTTTAAGCATTAATGCATTCTAGGAATCATAATTTCTCGGAACTTCATAACTAGAAATCCCTATGTTTGTGAAGTAAGAGAGCTAGAGTTTCTTAGCACTATCTTTTTTTCTTTCTTTGAAAATAATTAGCACTATCTCGACGATTTTGAACCTTATATAATTATAACCCAACTTAAGCATAGGTTTAGTTTTCTATCAATGAAATCATTAAGGGCTTACCTTTAAGGAGGAGCAATGAAATGACCTTTTTAGTTTGGGTCCACATTGTTTTTTTTTTAATCATATATATTGTAAAATAAGGTAATGTTTTGTCAACATGAATAATATAGCTCTGGTGATTAATTAGTGATGCTAACGAAGCAAATGTGTTAATTAATTAATTAAAATACAAGCCTTTCAAGGGATGGTTGGTCGAGTTAATGATAATCATTAGAACGAGATGTGTCTACCATACACAATTAAGTTTTCTCTCCTTTATGCACACCCCTTTTTAAAGAACTGAAAAACTAGTTTTGAGATGTAGTGTAGGATAAAGATCGGAATAAATATTTATCGTTTTTTTTTTAGTTTTTAAGTTGTCTAATTTAGTAAGAGATTTTATTTAAAATTTTCACTTATGGTTTTTTAATACAAAAAACAGATTACAATTCTGGAATTTATATTGTTTTAAAATTTATGCAGAAAGAAAAACAAAAAAAAATAGTTTTGAGATTTTTTGTGCTATAGTTTTGAGATTTAATTAGTAGAAATTGAAAATTTGACGCTCTCTTTGCATTACAATTCTGGTAACAGTCAATTAGTATTTGGTAGAAACACCTCAAAATCTACAAAGAAAGCCTTAAACTACGTACTAACTCTAGATTGTGTACGTCGGTTTTTCTGAGTACTCACGCCCATCCATTCATGAAATATGGCCGCCTAATTTAAAATAAGTAGCAAATTAAATAAAACAACGTGGCCGTCGTGATTTTATGTAGTAGCTTTTGGAGTTAATTATAGTGTTCTCTGAAACTTGACGAGAACTACTTTCTGATCACCAAATAAAAACTATGAACCCTTGTTTCTACTTTATTCGATTTTATGAAGGCCTTGCGTTCTTTTTGCGATGAATATTCTCCCAAATAATAATAACAAAATATTGGTAAGAATAATTGTAATTTATTTGGCATAAGCTTGTTTGATTAGTTAAGATCCTATGAACTTTAAAGTTTAAAGTTATATTTACATAATTTTTTTCTCCGTCACCCCACATATTTCATCTGTCACCTTTAGCTTGCTTACAACATCGAGAAATCGATTCACGACGAAGTCTCTGATCTATTTGTCTCTTAGATGATACAGTAATAAACACTTTGTGTGTGTGTTTCATTTCCCATGACACCTGAGTTTAATACCTTAAATGAATATTTTGATCTTGCTCCTTTTTCCTTCTATTTTTGTGTCTATAGTGTTAACACTGTCTTTGTTTTCTAATTCCCGATTTTCAGTATGCATTATAAAGAAGCTAAACATATGGTTAACAAGTGTTAAAGTTTCATGAGTTTCTAAACTAAATCCAATTAATAAGTAAATCAATCCAATTATTTTGGTCTCAACTCAAAGTATGCTTGGTGTGAGATTCCTAACACGTCTTCTCGAAATAATAAATTTTTCGTTCTATCTCGAACTGAATCTCATGACTGGTAATAAACTCTATTCAGACCATTCAAAGATTAAGATCAAAATTTTGAAATGATTAGGTGGCAAGCATGAGGGAAAACTTAGGTGCATAACCAACATCACCATGTTTTAGAAGATGCTTTTGATAACCGGGTTAGATCATGCGCCAAAGTTGAGGAAATTTTTACCTCTCTAAAACCTCTACAGTATAAAAATAAATCTACAACACATAACGTTCGAAGATTGCATCAGCTCTATTCAGAAAACTACGACGACAGTCTTTTGGTGTGGTTTGAAACACTCCTCCCTTGACAAAATATCTTTGGTTTTGCTTTTAGCATAATGTTGCACCAGTTGTAAAAATGATTTTTTATTTTGTTTTGAATATAATTTTACATTTAATTAAAAAAAAATCTACATTAGATAGGAAAGTTTGATCTTTGTCTTTAACTCGGAGGACGAGACATTTATCAACAAACCAAATGATCCACACGTTCTTGGTTTATCATTTAATATAAATCAAAGCAATTA